GTGTTTTTATATTTTTTCGGATGATAAACAAGTTCGAGTTTCCGTGTGTTTATCTGACGCATTACTCACCCACATTATCGTACGAGTATGTGTGCATAGATCGAACCTATCTCACATACACGTATGCCCTCTCGGTTTGTGATGTACGTATAACCGGTTTAATACAAATTAATGCAACTTAGCATTGTCCAATTCCCTTACAAATCAAAGCAAACAAAAGCACATTATGTGCTAATAAGTGTGCTTGCGTTTCTGTGTGTGCTTGTGTGTGTGTTTGTATGTGTTTGTGTTTGTGTGTGTGTGTGTGAAACAGAAAGTGATGTCGCACGGCTGAGCTAATATTTCGCATGTGATATTGGATATTGTTTGGATTGTTTCGTCCACTCACAGGTGGACAATCGTGCCCGACTTTTGTACAATTATTGAATTAGTATGTTATAAAAAAAACTGTTTGAATTGGTTATAAAAATGTGCATATTGTTGGCTTAAAACATATTGGGGAATTTCACGATTTCAACTTTGATGTGTCCCAGTTTTTAAATCCCACTCGTAGTGTGAAAAGTTGCTGTGTTGGTTTTAAATTAACTTTCAAACAAGTAATAATTTGTTTTAAGAAAATATAAATAAAACTTGTATAATGCAGCAATTAAAAACATATGAGGTGCTAATAAAGGTTTCTACAAGACACCCGCATTTGTGTGAGAAATGGAACTAAAGTGAGTAGCTCAGCTTAATTCGCATTGATGCTATAATAAATAATATTTAACCAACATTTTTAAATGGACCCCAAAAAAAGAGAAATTCCTATTACGCCACAACTTGAAAAATATTTGAGTGAAAAGCTGAGTTACATTTTAGGAAAGAAAACTGTAAGTTGTATTGCCAATGGAAATACTTTAATAGTTTAAAGGATCTCATAGTAGGTATTGTCCTAAAATGGACCGAATAGTTCTTCAAAATAGGATTAACTCAATGGAATTCCGTTTAAATGATGTTATAAATAATAATGATAAAGTATATTCAAAATAATTATTTGTCCCAGCAACTTATTTCGGTCTAGCACTCTAGCTCTAGCAAAAAATAAGGTAATTGCAAATATTGGTAGAAAAAAAAAAGAATGCAATATAGTTTTTGCAACAAAAAATATTGTTACTTACTTCGCACACTTTATATAATAAAGTGATTAGACAGATGTACTATTATATCGCTTTTTATAGAACAGAACATTTTCAAAGAGCTTTTTTGTCGGAAGAATATTACATTATTAAAGTTTCAGCCACATATAATATAAGTATCCTCGTCTACATAAATGTGAATTTAAATCTCTATTAAAACCTGGTGAATGAATGAAAATAGCATAAATTATTTATAAAAAGCAACTTGCCTCATTAAGAGCCATAAAAACAAATCTCATATTTTACACAACAATATTGTATTCTTGCATTGCATTGACTATTCTCTTACCAACGAATATTATTGCAACAAAACCAGCAAATATCAAAGAATTGTTCAATTGGGTGTCAGTCGAACGATTCGGTATCGCAAAAGTTAAATGATAACCATTTAATCTGTATTTAAATGGCGTCAGTGATTGGCAAATGGCGCAGAAAGTGCAGTTTGTTGGAAAATGCATGATTTCTGCTATCTTCAACAATTACCAGACTAGATCCGCTGACAGTGTTAGCATTGAGGCGTAAAAGAGCGAGAAAATAAGGAGAACATATATTTTTTTTGTATCGGTATGTGCAGTTCGCCTCCATCTAGAAGATTTTACGAACTAGAGATAATAGAGCTACGAAATTCACACATCAATTCCAATTTAGATTATAAATTAATTAGATTATTATATTGGTCACGTGAGTTATGCTTTCTCTCCCTTGTTTTATTGAAGTGCATGGCCGCCTCAATCAATATGTGCAATAAAATGTTCCGAGTCCAAAAGTAGACTATGAAGGTCTGGCAAATAAACAGTGGCAGTAAAAATAGCAACAAATGCAGTTATATTTAGAAAACAAAAGCGACGCAAATTGATGCACACATACGAAAATAGAGATATGAAGATAACATTGAAGGGCTACTTTGCAACGAACTAAACACACAATCGAATCCAATAAGATACAAATGCTTTCATATAATTGGAAACTTTGGTAGACAGGTACATATATGTATATACACATATGTAGAACGAGTATTGCAACAATTTTTGTGTATGTGTTTGCGTATGAATTTTGTGCAAATGTGCTCATTAAAGCAAATTAGAAAACTAAATGGCAAAGCCAAATGACAGGGAAAAAAGAAAAACAGAATAACAAATACGGAAAAGGGAGCTTGCAGGCTGGCAGTAAAAACGCAAATCCAATAAAATTTTATTGAAATGCGCACAATTTGTGCAAATATGCGAGTGTGTGTGTGTGTGTGTATATATATATGAATGTATGTGTATATGAATGTACATATTTGTACGTTTTGCACTTCAAACGAAAATTTGTCGCCGCATTAAGAGGCAGTCCACAGTTTATTGAATTACTTGACAAAATAAAGAAAGAAAACGGTATTCATATTAAATTTGTTTGCTATCACACTCTCTAGCCACACACACCCACATACCTACCTATACACACAAACACACACATACACACACCGCATGTGAAAAGTGTTGTTGTGTTTTATCGAAATATTTTGACGGGATTTAAATTTTCTGAACAAATTCGCCAAAAAGTATGCAATAGCATATGATTGACAGATACAGCCAGCTTCTGCTTGCTGCGTGAGCGTTCGTTGGTGTGTGTGTGTATGCATTCGTGTGTGTCTAACTGCTAATTTGAATAATGACAACGACATCAGAGCGCCATTTTCTAGTTGTTGCCTGTCGTCCTCCCCACTTCCTCATCCCCGTTCGTTGGCGCATCCGTTGCTGATTTGAATTAAGCTGCCACAACGTATCCTGTTGTGTATCCTGCGCATGGCAATAGGTGGCGCGTGCCAGTCGACATGGCAAATTGATACAAGCAGCGCTTAGTAAACCATTTGCAATTTCTCGAGAGTTTTGTTTGCCTAGACTCAAAAGTTGGAGCAACACCATCAGCGGGCATACTCGTACGAGGATACAAGTCCTAGCGCAAACTTCAAAGCGAAATTTGAAATTTAAAGCAACCTTTTTGCCTGCAGTGTGGTTGCTAACATTTTTTCATACGACTATAACGTTGAATAAAAAATTTAAGTTACTCAACTTATTTAAAAAAGTGTGCTCAACTTTTCTACTTGATTGCATTGAGCAATTAAAATTCTTAACAACCTACTATTCTGTTATAGTCGTCTAGCTGAACGATGATGAAAACTGATGAGGATTAAAAGAATTTTGGAAAGGCTGCCTTTTCGATTGAGATTGTTAAATAGTTTTACAGCTGAAAATGACTTTTTAGGCTGAGTATGCTTCACGTTTAGTTTCTTAGGGTTTAAGCGGCTCCTATAACCATTACACTCCGATTCATATTTTTTTTCCTTTTTTTATACCCTGTACCCAAAGGGTACAAGGTTATATTAGTTTTGTGCGAGTGTACATGGAACATACAGAAGGAGGCGTGGTAGACCCCACAAAGTATATATATTCTTGATCAGCATGACAAGCCGAGTCAATATAGCCATGTCCGTCTGTCTGTCTGTCTGTCTGTCCGTCGTCTGTATGAACGCAAGGATCTCAGAAAGTATAAGACCTAGAATAACCAAACTTGGTCTACAGATTCTCCAGAGCCCGAGAAAAGACGAGTTTGTTCATTTTCCCCGATGCACCCCCACACTCCACCCCCCCCCCCCCCCCCCCCTATTAACGATTTTCTATAACTCCCGTAATTCTTGGAATTTCAAAAATTTGGTAGACACATCCAGTTAGTAATTATATATCCGTATACCAAGTTTCATTATGATAGAATGATTGGAAAGAAAGTTGTAGCATTATAACCAGGCCCAATGCACACATACATACATATGTACAAGTACACTCATAGACACGATTCTGATGTAAATGTAAATGTATGTATGCATGTATGGAATATTTTTATACCCTGTACCCGTAGGGTAAAAAGGGTATATTAGGTTTGGGCAAAGTATGTAACATGCAGAAGGAAGCATCTCCGACCCCATAAAGTATATATATTCTGAATCAGAATGACGAGAGAAATCGATCTAGACATGTCTGTCCGTCCGTCCGTCTGTCCGTCTGCCCGTCCGTCTGGATGAACGCGAGGATCTCAGAAACTATAAAAGCTAGAATAACCAAAGTTGGCATCCAGATTCTCCTAGGTCCGAGAAAGGACGAGTTTATTTTATTTTTTGGAATTTTCCCCCCCTTCCCCCGCTACAGAATTTCGTCAATAGCGTCCACATTTCAAATGCTACCTAAACAAACTTTGCACACATAATTTATATATAATTTATATATAATATTGTAATAAAGTTATTAACGAAACAAATTCTCGCCAGTACAACCTCCCCAAACTGCAGCAAAAAGTTCGCTCTTCTTCTTCCTCTTTTTGCTGCTGCTATGGGCGCATATAACTCAGTGACGGAAGTTTACCTGGGTACAGGGTATTACACTGTCGGGCTTGCTCGACTGTAGCGTTCTCTCCTGTTTAAATATATGTTTTGTAATTCACTTTCGTTTCGTTTAACACAATTTTCTTAACCCGAAGCTCTGTAGGAACGCAACACCCGTCTTAAGCAAAGACTAGATGTATTTAAAAGTGAAAGCATTTTATGGCTCAAAGGTGGAAAATATAAAATGCAAGCTTCTACGAGTACTTTAAAAAATGCCTTTTGCTAATTGCTAGACAACATTGAAATCCGTTTATATTAAAACACCATTTACCGCAAGCTAAAGTTTCTCTTTCGGATTACGCTTAACTTGTTTTAATACGAAATTGTTTTGTCAATCAAAACTGGCGGCATACTGTGTGCCTTGAGCGCTATGCAAAGAGCTTCAAGTTTACAAATTGTTGTTGCAGAACCAGCGAGGAACGCAGCATGGATGACGACAACAAGCTGGTCTCGGACGAGGTGCATCTGCGCCAGCTGAGTCCGACGCCACAAACGCTGCAGCAGCGGCGACAGAGCCCAAGCGTGACACATTCGGCGCCCGCTGAGCTCACGCAGCGCAGCTTGGAGCAGCTGGAGGAGCAGTCTGAGGAGCGCGTGGTGCTGCGACGGGCGGCAGAAAAGGGACCCATAGCCTTGGCACAAATCGATGACCTAAAATTGGAGGGAGACGATGACGCTGATGGTGGTGTGGGTGGTGGTGGTGGCGATGATGAAGCTGATGGCTTGGGTCTTAGCAATCCCGCAGCGCAAACCACAAATGATGAGCAGATTACGGTCACAAAAACAACAGCAACAGCAACAGCAGCGAAGGGCGAGGTAAGCAAAATTCAACGCACTTAGTGCTAATTAAAAGCTAAGCGAACACAAAACAGCAGGAAGCAGGAACAATCGCCGCCACGACAACAGGAGACACCGAACCAGAGAGTACAATGACAACAACAGCAGCAACAACAGCAGCAACAGCAACGGCAACGACAACAGCAACAGGAACACCAACGGTCACACTGGCCCTAGCGCCAATAACCTTGCCGGATATGTCGAAAATTCCTCGCCTGCCCGGCGACGGCGCCCAAATGGAGGAAAATGCCAGTACCAGCGATCTGCCAGCCTCGCTGCGTGCCTCAACCACATCGATTCTGTCGAACGTCCGCAAAAAGCAGCTCACGGGCAAGCAGACGCCGCTGCGTGTCCAATCCGTGCGCATTGTGGAGGCCAAACGCATGCACGGCCCCAAACGCCGGACCGAAAGTTGCAGCATATTTGGCAACAGTAATTTTGGTAAGCCTTTGTCATACATCTCTCCAGCATCCTGTTCGTCCTAATTCACTCCATCACACGTCTCGCACACAGATCACGAGCTGGAGTGTGGCCAGAGTGGCAATATGGCCATCCAGCCCCAACGTCCGCTTACTAACGAAACCTATTCGGCCTTCAAGAGCGGCAATGTCGTCAAAGGCATACTCTGTCCCTCACTGACAAATTCCTTTAAACAGAGCTCGCTGGAGCGCAGCTATCTTACCTACACGCATCGACAGCGACAAAAGTCCTTAATTATCGTGAATGTTGTGGACTTTGTGCTGAAAGTGGTCCTAGCGCTAATCTGGATGCTGCTACTGGCCGAGTTCGACACAACACCGGCCGATAATATATATGTGTCGACGGTAAGTTGAATTTCACGATTACTATAATTCATATCCCACTACGCAAGCAATTGAATGTGTTTTGCGCTCAAATGGGGATATCCTTTTACCCATTTTATTGAACAAAGATGTCAACGATTAATAATTTAACTTAATATATATCAAGAACCATAAACTTCTACTTAAAATGTGGCTGCTTAGAATATAGTAGTTTATATAACAGCCAAGTGGTCCCTTCTACTTCTCACAATCGTCAAAAACAACTTTTAGTCTAAAACTATATTTATATGGGAAGTCTGTGTTTTGTGTTTTTCAGAGTTAAGAGTTAAGTTAATTAATTAAGCAAATTAATTATCAATTATTTTATCCCAACTCTTGCATTGCCCCCTGAATAGTTAATACTTTTAAAATCTAAACTAACAGAAAATCAAAAATTGTATAAATCCTTGCAATCAAAAAATTAATTAATTCATACAATACTTACAAATAATATTTTAAAAAAATAAATAAATCAAAGAGTAGGGAATACGAAATGTTAAACCCACACGTTTAAATATTAGAAATATATTATATTAAGAGAAAATGTTAAAAAAAAACAACTCCAATGATAGCCAACTTTATTTTTATAAATTCGAGCTAGACATTTCCTTGCTATTACAATACTTAAATCAATGCCTAAATCATGGATACATACACTTGGGTAAAATGGGGATAAGCTTTGATGAGTTAGATCGAAGTTCCTTATTGATTAACAATTATAGCGTCTATTATGTATTTAAAGAGAATCTGTAATTAAAATATTGTATTCCAAGTTAAATCTTCACAATCCCCTTCTGACTCCCTACATTCTTGATGGAAACAACTTTAGATAAATATATTTTCGGCATTTCTCTAACACCTTTAATATTAAAGAGTAGCCATTTCCAGGTAGATTTTATCATCGGCCCATCAAACTAATCAGCCCATCATATAATTTTAATTGCCTTAATTCCTTTCTTTTTCACGCACAGGATATCAGCCTGGCGACGGCCATCACTTGGTCCGTTTGTTGCGGTATCGCGAACATGGCGATTTGCTTTCTGGGCTATTGGCGTTGCTTTGCCAACAACTATTTGCATTGGGCTGCCGTTTGCACATGGATACTCTTCAATATAGAAGGTGAGTGCCCGCAATAAATCATGCGTCACGTGCTACCGCCATCAAAATGCGTACTACTTGTAATCCTTTTTTGAATTGTGGCCCCGGTTGCCGAAAATAGTACATAAATATTTTTATTATTCCGCAGGTTTTATTGGCAAAGGCGTGGGATTCGCTGATCGCGAGGACTTGGTGTGGTACATTCTGTTCGTTATATTCGTTCCTTATGCCATGTTGCCGTTGCCACTGAAGTGGTGCGTGGTCGGTGGCACCATCACGGCCAGCTGCCACTTGGCCGTAATTACAATTTTTAAGGTGCAGCCTCACGAGGTAGGCGTGTCAAATGTTATGGCTTTTGTTGTTTTTCCAACGTTTGCTCTCTCTGTCTTCATGCAGCCAAGCAGGGATGTGGATTGTGATTTATTTCAAATCTTTGCCAATTTCATTCTCTATACGGCCATCAATGTGGCCGGCATGTATACCAAGTATTTGACAGATCGTGGACAGCGGTTGGCTTTCATTGAGACGCACAAGGCAATGGAGCATAAGAAGGAGTCGGAAAAGGAGTTGCAGCGCACACAAAAGCTACTCGATTCGAGTAAGTAGAGATATCAGTGTTTTATGCATGGAAATCTGAATGCATATCAATACAGATATTAAATAGAACAGAGCAGACAGGTATTTGATTTCACAAATGAAATGATATATGATAGCCAGCCAGCTTTAAGCAGCTTTTAAAATTGTGCAAAGATCCACTGACATGACTGAGTTAATTTAGCGAACAATTTACTTTTCAAGGATGCCAATTAAATTTTAAGAATGCAAAATATCCAGTAACAAAACATACAATTATTCAAGAGAACTATACTTGAAACACTGCATCTATCTTTTAAATCTTCAGATTTAGATAGGATCCTTAATAAAACATTCTCTTAAGAGTCACATTCTATGAATATTTTAGAGTATCAGACACTTCAACGAACTAAACACCCAAAGACATTTAAGCCCAATGAGGAAGAACAATTGATCATTCTCCAGACCTTTAATTGTCGGCAACTGGTTAAGAATATGGGCTCACAAAGCCTTAACAACATTTTAAAATAAGTTGTAATTATTAAAACAAACAAAGTAACTTGGTAATGAGAAGAGAATATATTTAAAGTACGAATTATGCCTTTCTCGACTAATAGGCCTCTCCCGAAATTGTAGGAGCTCGTTCAAGTCACTTAATTCTATTTTCCTTTTAATAAACGGCGATTGCTGCAGTTTTAGAGCCGCATAATGCAATACGCCTGTTGTTGATGTTCAAAGCAATTTCAAGCCGTTGCCAGCGAAGAGTCAAAGTAGCAGAGTAGCTGCATCGCCGACGACAGGTAGATAACCACCTTAACGGCAGCATCAACGGCAGGTAGCCGAGTGCATTAGATACTCGCTCTTTTTGCTCTTCAGCGTATGCAGACTTTCAGGCACTGGAGTGTTCCATGAGTCCTTGAGTGCGGCAGAGTTGCCTCTTCAGTAATTTAGCGTTGCTTAACGACTGCAGGCTGTGAATTCATATTGTATTTAACTCCCAACGGCCTCTCTCTAGCCAGTTTACTTTACTAAACTTGTCTCTCTACCTTGTAGTTTTGCCCAACATTGTGAATAACCAAATACGCAGCGAAATGTACAAAGGCACGGATCCGACGGTGGAGACGCAATTCAATAAATTGTATGTTTATCCCATGGATAATGTGAGCATACTATTTGCGGATATTAAGGTAAAACATTTCCCAAAAAAGCACAAATTCCAGAAAATTGCCAGACTAAATCGATACTCGTGTTTATCTATTTGTGGGTTACAATTGCAGGGCTTTACCGAATTGGCCAGCAAAACGTCCGCTCAGCAATTGGTGAAAATTCTAAACGACCTTTTCGCACGCTTCGATCGCATTGCCGAGGTGAGTGAATAAATCACCATGACAGAGTTTAAAATGAAATGATAAACATTTCATTTAAGCAATAAGCAACTTTAAGCAGCAATCAATTCACAATACAGTCCCTAAATTAAACAAATCTCTAGTCAACACCTTTACAACGAGCATGCCTTTAAAGTATTCATTTTATTGCTCAGCATTTTGCAGCGTTAAAGATAAGACTGTTAATTTAATATCTAAGTGAATCAGGAATTTGTGTAATATATATTTATTTTTTGTATCCATCGTATTAATCATCGGTTGCAAGTATCCTTTATGTTTTAAAAGATTAAAGAACGGCAATATGAGGTTTGATTTTAAAGTAAGAATAATACTTTTTATATACTTGTACTACGTATGAAGGCATTATGCCATCAATTCCTGTTCAATGCTATTACTCTAAATCATTTATAATAGCCGTTTAGTTATCGTTAACAAATCGGATGTGCATTTGGAAATAACGTAGAGCATTATATTGCTAAACAAGCGCCGTCGTAAAGTATTTCTTTATATTTCTAATACCGTTTGTCTTCTGTTGACAGGACAATCACTGCCTGCGCGTAAAGTTGCTCGGCGATTGCTACTACTGTGTGTCTCAATTCGAGAGCGACAACTGGAAGACGCGACCGGATCATGCGGTGTGCAGTGTGGAAACTGGACTGCACATGATAAAGGCCATTAAGGATGTGCGCTTGCATACGCACGTAAGTGAACTGAAGTGCATTCAAGTGGAGTCCATTTTTTTCGTTGTCTGTGTTTCTGTCTGTCTGCTATTCTCCTCCCTTTTTGTCTGTCTCTCTCGCGGTGTCTATGAGGGAAAGCAGGGCATTTAAATGCACATTCACGCGTTTAAAGTGTGTGGCATACATTTATGACACTCGACCACTATTACCCACCAACAACAAATGTAAAAGCAACAGCAGCAACTGGTAAATGGTATGAAGGCGGGTGAAATTTTCGCTTTCTTTTTCGAAAATTTAATACCAAAAAATTGTTGAACTGTCAGCTGTTCTCGGTTCCAGCAGCCACCTTATTTTTATTGCACATTGCCGCTGTCAACGCTGTGGAAAGCGCTTTGGCCTGACCCGCTGTCGGATGATGCTGTTGACAATTCATTTGTATGCAAATCTCGGCCACCGTTGTGGCAAAAGGCGCAACAGCAACGCAAGCGTGTGTGTTAAACTTTCTTATATACTATACGTGCACACACACACACACATTAAGCGAATGCAACAAAAATAAATTGATTTTTTTCTGCAAGCCGCTTTGGCTTTTGCCGCAGTGAACTGGTAACCAAGTCCAGATTTTTATGCATGAGGAATGCAAAAAAGAGTTGCGCATAATTGGCCGCACTTTGCCACGCGCGTTGCTTAATTGCATCCGCTCGCTGGCCGCATGGTTTGACTGACACACCGATACACACACACACATATATATATACACTAACAACTACAAACAGAAGCCGAACTGTCGGTTCACATGACAGACGCACAGACCGACAGTCGACCAATGTCCTTCCTGTTCGCATTCATTACCAATTGCAGATGCAGCCTAAAAGTATGCTGCACATTTTGCTGCAGTTGTGCGTTAAGTGCGTGCTTTGCATTTCATTATACCCTGCAATTGTAGACAATAGAGTACATATATTCCCATGCTACCGTTGTCAAAATGTTGACCCGAATTTAAAATACACAAGCGGATTTGTTTGTGGTCAATAAAGTGAGATAAGCCGGCAATAAACTGGATTAATGCATTCTATTTGACAAACACTAGAAAAACATTATAAAGGCAAACCTTATAAATACATTTTAAAATTATGATAATAAACGAACTGGACTCCTCTCAATGTGTTAAATCTGTTCAAACAAAACTGCATTTAGGTGCAATATTCAATGGTTATCGAATTCGTATTTGTATTTGAAATTAAAAACGAGCAGAAATTAAGTACGTTCTGAATATTAGCAAGCCAGTGTATTATTTAATTATTCATTCAGTTAAACTGTCTCTCTGTCTATTTGGGTACAACAAAATTAACAAGTATATACAAGTATTGCTTGTATTTATGTATTTATTTTATAAATTTACATCCGCTGCTATGAGCATCTCTTTATAAAAGAAATTCAAGTAATGATTGCGATAATTCGATGGAAGTCTATCCTATTTGTAATTTCTTCAAATATATAAACTTAAAGCACGTTGAGTAATTTGTTTTAATTTGTTCATGCGACTAAAAGGAGCTCCCAATGCTTAACAGTTCTAGAGCACAATCAGTGCGCTGCGTAGGCGTGTCCTTGTTTAAATCAGTTACTAGTTGCGCGTTGGCATCGCTAATTGAGCATGGATTCCCAGAATTTCATTGCGTGCGTACCTGTGTTTGTGGTCCTCTTTGTCCCCCCCTGACAATTATATGCGTTTCATAACAAGTTGCATTCATTTGGGGCGATGTAAGAGGTGCGACTATTGTGCGTATCAGTGCTGCTTCGTAGAAAAAATAGCATCATTTTCAAGTAAAAAAGATTATCCAATGTTTCGGAACGTTTCGGAATAAATACGTACATAAGCATAGTTTCAAAATAAACTATTTCCTTTACCAGAAAATACTAGGTTTATTATCTTATCAACTCTTATTAGATTACGTAACCGGGCCATGTTATTATATATTATATTATAGGGTATTTGCTGTCCAGCCATGATGCGACATTCACTTGTTTGTTTTATTTTTTTCACGATTTGTCTCTCATGCACTTTTGCTGGTCTTTGGGCATTCAAGGTGGACCTCAACATGCGTATTGGCATACACAGTGGCTCGGTAATGTGCGGCGTTTTGGGCAACAAGAAATGGCATTTTGATGTCTGGTCTAACGATGTTATCATTGCAAATCACATGGAATCTGGCGGCATTCCCGGGTGAGTTTGAACAGACACTCACACGCACACAACTATCTGTTGGGTTTTTACCCGTACGAGTATATGAGAGTGTGTGTGGCACATACAAATTGACAGTGAAGTTATGCACAAGCCTTGGGCATGTCCTGCTTCTACACTGAGAATATTCATTTCTCGAAAATAAATAAATAATAATATTTAGACGTGAGGGAAAACAGAATGATGTGGAACTACTTAAGCCATAAACTAGTGCTTTAGTCCCACACAAGTTGGTCCGCTAGTTTAAGGAACCTAAGTGTGGTAGAAACAAAAGGTCTATCATTCAACTCACTGAATTTGTTCAGTGTAGCTAGAGCAGTAAGCATTGTGCCTGGTTGGCCACTTAACTTATGCGTAGCTCGGCCCAAAATTAGAACCGTGACTGGTCTTCAATGGGCAATCATTCACCAGAGGCACACATATTCATGAGCAGCATACACGTGCCAAAGCTCACAATTACATGTGCACATATGTAGATGCATATGTATATAGGTTTTATTTATATATAGTACATACATTCAAGTATATAACTACAAACGTAGACGACGCAGCTTTTAAAGCTACACTTTCTTCAAGCCTTGGCACATTTGGCAGCAGCAGCAAATCTAGTGATTTATCGATTTTATTTAATTGTTTATACCTCCGTGCCTGCTTCAGCTAAAATTTTTTGGCAACACGCCAACTCCCACTAATCCAAGCTGGCCGTCCAACTGTGTAGAGGCAGAGAAAAACGAGACTCCTGCTGCTCCTCTTTCAATCTTCACCAGCTACAGTTTTAATTGGCCAATTAAAGGGCATGTCCTTTGGAACAATTGCCAAGTAATTTTGCAAGCTTGGCGTGCTTAGATACCGAAAACAAATGCTTCAAGTTACTGAATTGCTTGGCGAGGCACAAAAGCAAAAGCAACAGCAACAAAGAGCTCAGCCTAATGCAAAATGCTTTGATGTAATTGTGGTTACAAAGGTAGGCATTCAGCAGTCGGAGAGGCAATAGCTAGGATGCCAATTATGAAAGGCATAGAGTGTAGTAGAATGACGCCCACACACACACACACACGCACATACACACGCACGCACACTTCGATGTCGAGTCACAATCATAGGAAACGTATGCAAATATTTGAATTTAATTTTCGCCAACTACTTTTTGGTCTCAACCAAATGCTTCAATATACACCTTCGAACCACACCCATCCCCACAGACGAGTTCACATCTCGGAGGCCACACTGAAGTGCTTGAACGATGCGTACGAAGTGGAACCGGGCAATGGCGGCAGTCGGGACAATCATCTCAAAATGCTGAACGTCAAAACATACCTGATCAAACGCACCGAGCCATTGAGGTAAGCACATGGATTGGAAATTGAAATGAGCGTGAGCCGTAGTCGTGATTGAAATGGGAATAAAGCTAACATGGGAAAGTATGTTCATACTAAAGAAAATCACATTGAATTAAAAGTAGTTTGTAGTATACATACAACAATATTTTATCAAAAGAAAACGAGGAAGGTACACTGTAACATCTTGGTTTGATTTCATTATAAAGCCGTCAATTTGAGTGAAGTCTGCAGTCTGATATTTCAATTTGAGAATCGAGCTGATTATTACAATATTAATAACGAACAGTTAGTTAAGCTTTTAATACGTCTTGACTTCTGAGATTCTTCTTTCTGATCCTAAACAATACAATACACTTGATAATTGTATAAATCATAATTATATACAATTATTTACTTTTGTAGTAGAAATATGGGAAGCAATGGGAAAAGCCTAGAATAACTTAAATTTGACTAAAAATAAAAAAACTACTTTTAAATCGTGATTGATGTGACAGGAAATTAACTTAAGCACCCATCACTAATAGGAAGCCTTGGGGCGCTGAGAAGTTGTCTGCCGTGTCTTAGAATTTGCCACAAAATCGGCTAGACAAGCAAAAGTAAAACAAAAGCAATGAAGAGTAAAGAGGAAAGTGGCAAGCAGCAAAGGGATTGGGTAGCAGAAATTTCAATTTTGATTTTCCTTGTCTCGCCTCACATCAGACCCAAAAGACGCTTTGGCACCCGCAGCAGTGCTCACTTGGCGAGCAGCAACAACAATACCCCCATTGTCGCAGCCCCGACGGCGGTGCCAAAATCGATTTCCGCCAGTGGCAGCAATGGCAACGATTGTGCTGCCAGCATCAGCGTTGGAGGCACCATCGACGGGGTCAGCATTGACGATAGCCTGGAGTATGCAACTACTATGTCCGTGCCACCTTCCACGCCGCAGACAGCGGCACAGCTGCTGCAACAGAAGAAGAACGTCTCCCTCAACTCGCTGCCCAATGTGGTTGAGGGTGTGGTCATGGAAAATCGCCGGTTACGTAATGGAGTAGCCGGCAATGCGGGCACAAATTCAGGAACTGGCGCTCCAGCGGGTCTCTCCACCGTCTCCTCACCAACGGCCATGATGACGGCACCACTGGAGCAACAGTTACGCCCACGAAACGGCGCCAGTGTACAAAACCTAACGGACACCAACGCATTGGAGCCGAAAGGTTCGATCATTGAGGACGAGTCCACCACAGATTGGATACCCGAAATCCCGTTTAGAAACGTAAGTAGATTTCATCAACAGAATGAATCAAATGATTTACTAAGATGGCATAATTTTTAGCTAAATAGTCCTGAGGAGGGCCTTAATCGAACCGATTCCATACTGGTGGATGCCAAGCAAGATCATCGCGTCTCTGTTACGGGCCTAGATGAGGAGGTAAGACGAATTTTCGCGGTCATAATTGCCACTCTAGAATGTATTATCACAGTATATTATAATCAGGCAATTGCATATAAAATTAATTGATCATGAGAATTCCTATAGTTTTCAATAACAATAAAGTTGCAATCTTCAAAAAACTTCCTTTGGCTAGATTCTAGTAATAGACAAGTTATGAGAGAAAAATTGAAAATTTTCAAATATAAGAAGTAAATATATTTTAAATAATTATTCTAAAAGACCCAAAAAAGATTAAATTATTGTTAAAACGTCACCTTTCAACATCTGTTGTACAAGTTTTAAGCAAAATATGAGTTTTTAAGTTAAAAATTTAGCATATTTGGAACCGAATTCATATATTTTTAATGTCTTCCTGGGGTATCCCCAAAAGTTACAAAGCGGCAGTTTGTTTATTTTCAGATTTAGGTAAAAACGAGGTTTTTATTTTTAGGAATAATATAATAATGAAATAATGAATATGAATAAAACCAATGATTCAATGCTTCAACTTAGGACAAATCTTCAAAAAAGTATAGATTTTACTTAGAAGTGCAGTTCTTAACCTTTTTGTTTTATCAGATAAGGAATTCCTCTTATGCACTAATTTCTGCGTTTATAATCATTTTTTAAAAATGGTAATTGTGACCGCATTCCGAAAGCCGTTGGCAATTATTCAATTCAATTTAGTTGCCCAATTTTCGACAGATTGACGAGTTCATTGAACAGAATATACAAATCAATTCGAACAAGGAGATACGTCGGGAATATCTAAATGCATGGACGTTAAAATTCAAGGACAGATGTCAGGAACAGAAATTCTGTCAGCTGCGTGAGGACATGTTTCGGTTCGTGTTTAGAATGTCAATGACCAGCCCAGAGGGGCAGATGGTTAATTATTTGAATCGATGCTCTGCTTTCTAGCTCCAACATGTTGTGCGTATTTGTCATTTGGATATTTATGGTGCTCTGCCAGGTCATTATTATACCACGATGTACACGTCTCATTATTTGTCTGAGTGTCGGCACCTTGGTGCTGACCTTTTGCTGCGTCCTTGTCATGGCGGAAGAGTTTCCAGGTGGGTTCACGAACTGATCTTTTTATCGTCCTCTTTTTGTTCACATAGTATTGTTTTTTTTTTTCAGGATTGCCGCGTTGTTTGAAGAAAAACTCGGCCAAGTTGGTGCATCAGCGTCAGCGTCGCACGCTCTTCATTTGCAGCGTCATCGTCTCCATGTGCATGCTGAGTGCCATCGGATTGGTGCTCTGTCCCTCATCTACCTACAATGGTAATGCTGAGGAGCAGGCCGGCTTCACTAGTATCGCTCGATCTCAGCTTATTGGCAATGCGACGGCAGCGGAGAAGGACTTGAACGTTAAGGTCTTTCTCTCGGCCACCATACACCACAACATCACGATTAATACACCTAATGGCGCCCCTCCTGATTTCACCGACGCCCTGCTCAATGAGAACTTCACGCATGCGCCGACCGACGCCCTGGTCCGTCAAACGCTGGAAAATGCTCTGAATTTAACGCAGCGGTTGGAGCACTTCGAACAATCCCATCGGCCCTACACACTTACCAGCAATGGCCACAGTGTTTCGCTAGATAATTCCAGTATTACTTTGGATTTCCTGCGACGACACGATGCAGAGAATGACTGCGTCCATCCAGAATATATTGTCTTCACTTGGGTGCTTTGTCTCGTCTCACTGGCCACGGCACTCAAGCTCTACTATTTGGTCAAAGCTATTATGGCCCTGGGCATGGTGGCTTTCTACACGGCTCTCATTATGTTCAAGTTCAATGTGGAAATGACCCCCAGCGATTCGCAGCACCTGGGAATGCCCCTCGCCATCCAAATGCTGGTATTGCTCATATCATTTCTGGTCATGGTGTGCTATCATGCCCGCCTGGTGGAGGTTAGTTGACAAAGCTTCGTTTCTAATCGGCCTGGTATTAATAACATTGGTCTGTCATAGGTCACCTCACGACTGGACTTTATATGGAAGGAACAGGCAGAACGAGAACTCACGAACATGAAATCAAATCGCTCGCTCAATGATACTTTAATTAAGGTAATAATTAACTTGCCTTTACCTCTCTTCGAAGAAAAATGTATTGATTTACAAACAAGTGCTTTCAAAAAATATTTATATACATATATCATAAGGTTTTGTGGATTTTGAAGGCCTTAACTTGTGTCTCAAGACAATTCAAGGTTCTACTCAAGGCATCCACGGATCGCCGGATAATTTATGTGGGAGCTGATTAGGAATTTATAAAAAACATTGCTTAGAAAATTCTCGAAAACGAGCCAGGAATTACGGAATTGAAAAGAGGATCTAATTATCTACCAATCGAAACGTCTAAAATTGCTTGTATAGCTATATTGACATAATTTAGTTGATGAGAATAGCTTAAGAGGCAGTCTATATTTGCAATACATTGACTTTAGAAAGGTAATGTAAATATAAGATTACCCAAAAATTTCATGAGAGCAAGAATTGTCTGCCTAACAAACAGGCCGGTGAGAATATTCGAATTTGGAAACCTCTGATTTTGATCGATCGATCATAAAGTGGAATTTTTATATACAGTTTTGGAACTTTAGTTTTTTTTTTTTTTTTGCAATTAATGTTAAGAATATCTAAAAATTTGAGTTCACACCTCATATCTGTGCTTAAATATGTGCAGAACGTCTTGCCGGACCATGTGGCCGCCTATTACCTATCCGACGAACATACGGATGAGCTCTATTCCAAAATGCATGATCTATGCGGTGTGATGTTCGCCTCCATACCCAATTTCCAGGACTTCTATTCAGAGGATATAGACAACGGCAAAGCATGCATTCGCATACTAAACGAAATAATATGTAAGTTTATGGAATTACCCGATTTTTAGAAAAGATATAGCACTCCTAAATCGTTTACCCTTTCTAGGTGACTTTGATGAGTTACTGGAGGAGCCACGCTTTGCTTCGGTGGAGAAAATCAAAACAGTGGGTGCCACTTATATGGCGGCCGCTGGTCTGAATGTGGAACAGATGCGAGCACGCGGGGAAACCTCGGAGGGCAGCGTTTGCGATCTGGTTGATTTCGCCTTCGCGATGAAACAAAAGCTAGAGGAGATCAATGGAGATGCATTCAATAATTTTCAGTTACGCGTCGGCATTTGCAGCGGACCCTTGGTGAGTGGCGTGATTGGAGCGCGGAAGCCTGTCTATGACATTTGGGGCAATACCGTGAATGTGGCCTCCCGCATGGACTCCACGGGCGAAAACTGGCGTGTGCAGGTGCCGGTCAATACGGCCGAGCTGTTGCGCACGCGTGGCTACACGTGTGTGGTAAGTTGGGGAGTTTTAGAGAAGACCCCATCAATTGATTTGCCTTTGTTATTATGTTATAGAAACGTGGAGATATCAATGTGAAGGGCAAGGGTTTGATGACCACTTTTTATGTGCATCCCAGAGGTATTACGGAGAGTCAATTAACTTCACCGGTACGCATGCCCGCTGGCATTCCGCTGGCACCCACACCAAATCTACAAAGACAGACCTCGCATCACGGATCCTTCAGTGCTGTGGTCTTCGGCATGCTGCAGGCCAGCAAGCGAAGCACAACCATAGCAGGCACACGTAAGTCGAAAAAGTCGGGGCTCCAACAATTTCATGGCCGGGATTTTCTTAAAAGCACTAGTGGGTTTTAGTTGAGCACTTCTACAAGCTCTGTCTGTTCTTTCTTAAATAATAGCATTACTTTCTTGAGTGACCTCTTTGCTTTCCTGAGTCTAACGATTTGCAAAGCCATTAAAGCCTTACGTTTAACATTACTATAACTTAAAATCGTCCATATACTTGTAAGATTGAGCTAATATTCCATTTCTAAAAACATTAACTGCTCGTTTTTTAGATATCATGTAAACTAATTCTTATGATTAAATGTGCTTATAGCACAGCTTCTCATACGAAACACTATACAGTTATTTCAGAAAATTTCAACAACAAAGTTCGATACATGCCTAAGCAAATTAGCGAACTGAAAAGTCACCTAAGGAATATTCAATAATCAAATTCCTTAAAATACTTATAATCCACCTGATATTAGATCAATATTATCATCGTCAGATTAGGCAAACAGAAATGGAGCCCGTCAAACGATAGAACCCTTTTCCCCCGCATGTTTTACTGAAATAGTCTGCACATTTCTCACCTACAAAATTTAATGTTTTCAGCCACTGGCACCCCATCGCCTCAAATACGACGCGGACATCGAGGCAGCACCTTCAGCTCCGTGCGGCTGTCGCAGAAATCGACAACCGTAAATCCGGTGCGACGGAATACGACACGAGTGCGGGCTCGTTCCTACAGACAGAAGAAGGTAATGCAGCATATAAGCTTGGCCCCGAGTTTGCTTTCTAACCGGTCCCGACTTTGCTCACAGAGTTCCTCCAACAATTCGATAGTGACGCAAACGAGTGCCAGCTATATGCCCTCATTCCGGCGTATCGATCAGATTGAGACGACTATCTCGAAGAGCCACAACGATGCATTATAGCCAACGCGCGCCAATTGGGTCTAAACGGGAAGCTGGAGGCAAAAATGCAGGGGTTGCAAGAACAATTTTAGTAATGCAGAATTTATTTTTGGAACGATTTTATGCTGAAAAGTACAGCTGTGCTTGCTTGCTTGGTCTCGGTTTGTATGATAGATAATTGAAAACGGCACTGAAGCTACTTAGTAGATCTTTTTCTTTATAATATTTGAACTATAGTAGAGCCAATTATGCATTATCTCGGCACAATTCTAGTCCCTTAGCCGTATAAGTAGAAAGTAGGTGAGTTATATGCTTATGTCGAACGATCGTTCAATACATCTTTTATCTTATGTAGATGTTATGCTTTAAGACATCAATTCTAGTATTGTGGGTTTCAACTTAAATATACAATTCAGAATTATCGAAGAATCAAACACTGCTAGATCTAATCTAGATAAACGATAGCTAGAATGTGAAAGGTAGAGTAACCAAATGGCAGCTGGTAAGAAAGGGAGAGTTTTAGCACAAAAAGAAGCTATTGTATATAGATTACAAATTTTTGTCAATTTAACTAAAAAAGATTCGTAAAAGTTCCTTAGAGAAGGTTCCAACGGTATGAACGATTTCGGGGTACAACTTCATATCCCACAACAGACCTAAGTATCATGTAATAAAAACATTTGCCAAGAACAAATATCAAATTTTCAAATACATATGTATATACATATAGAATGTATATGTGTATTTATTTTTTATAGTTTTAAGTCCAGTACTAAGCATTTATCTGTATGTCTTTTAATACTAAATCAATCTCAATAATATATACATAACTATATACATATATGAATGATCAAATTAAACAAAGTTTTCCTCCCCCCAGTTTTTTGGAAAGTGCACAACAAAAATTCAACAAAAAAGTTTGTAAATATGCAACTCACACGCACACCACAAACACAAATAAATGAAAAGCCCACGAGTACAATATTTTAAATGATTTTATGTGTAAAATCCTATAAATATAAAGATAAGCACGCCCCAAATTGAATATAAAAATCGGAAATTATTGCTAGACGAACGGTTTTTGTGGGTAGGCGAGCAACAAGATAAATGCATCTTAGCTGAAAATTTATGCACCATATTGTAATTAAATAAAGGTTAATACAAATAAATGTGATAAATTCAAGCAAATCAAAAGCGCACTGTCTCTGTCATTCACATCTCCCCCATGTCCGTCTCAATACTCGTAAACCATCAACAGCAAGACTCCGAAAATAACGGAAGCTAGACAAATGGCAACCACAGGCGACATGACCACAACAGGCGATAAATTGTGAGAGCAAGAAGAAGAAAAGTAGATTACAGTGGCGCAAAAGTTTACTTTTGCTCTGAAAAGCTAAGTGTGTTAGAGAGCTATAAAAAGATGAACAAAGTAATAGTAATGCATTTTCACGAATGTCTCAAGGAACTACTTTATAATCAAGTCATAAAAAATACCTTTCGTTTAAATAAATACAGCAGATTTAAAAATAATTAACATTGGAGTTCAGTTTGGAAGGGAAAGGCAGTTTACTTATACTCTAAAATAAAAAAAATAAGCATTAACTACTGATGGAAATATTTGACGGTTTCTTATTAGCACTTCGCCCACTGTGCGCAATGACAACAACAACAAAAAGAGCACCCAAAAAACTCATCTTCATCTAAATAAATGCAACCACAAAATGTTATTTTTATAACTGCCAGACGCACAACGCTCGTCGGCTACAAATCTAAAAGGGAAGAGAGCGGTCAATGGACAGCAGCTGTGGAAATGAAGCGCTGGAGCCGAAACACTTGTCGTCCAGCGTCTAGCGAGCGCTCGACTACAACTTCCCACGTCGGTTACGTTTCGTTGAACGAAATGCAAATGACATGACATATGCAGTTGGACACACACACACACACACGCACGCAAACAGACAGAGGGGACGGACGCATGCGGAAGCAACGACAAAAACAACAACAACAACAACCACTTGTACATTTTCACTTATTGGCGGCGAGCGGCCTTAATATTCATTAATGCTTGTTATTGCTGTAGAAGTCGTAATGATAAGACAAACTACACATTTTTGTTGTCGTTCCTCTTGCAGTTATTGCAGTTGTTGTTGTAATGCGTATGGTTGAAAATTGAATGAATGCGTGAATACATTTTACATTTCAATGCATCATTTGTGTATGTTATGTACATACATACATACATATGTACATATGTGTGTGTGTATGCATGTATGTATGTAGTTTACTGTCTGGCCACTTCCTCTTTCTTGTTCAAAGAACGCCCACGTAAAAATAGAAACGACATGCGCTGCAACCACCAGTGCAGAGCATATGCATGAATGCAAGGCATAGAAAGAGAGAGCTAACTTACCACACTACCAAAAGAAACGCAGGTAGCGTATATTCCAATACCAAATGCCCGACACTTGTGGCGCACATTACACTTTGCTTCCGCTAATGCCGGCGCCAGATCTGCCGCATATGCAACATGTGTATTGGCTTGTGTGTGTATGTGAGCATGTGCGTGTGCATGCCGGTAGTTTTCATTTTCATTCATGAAATTTTGTGGAAAAATGCATCTACACTTCATTGGCTGGCAATGAATGAACGACACATGTCGCATTTAGTTTTATTCGAACGCTAGACGCTCGCAAGTCGCGACGCGGAAATTTCACTGACATTGTGCACCACATATGTACATATTATACAGCAAGGCACACTCTTTTGTAAAATAAAATAATAAATACGCAATTGCCGCAAGCCGTGTTAACATTACAGACCGCTAACATAACCCAGCTTTTTAAAATTCGCAAAATTTCCCATCACATACTTCAGTAATTATCAGTAACTGTTTTTACCGTTTCATCGACTACAACGATTGCAGCTATATCTAGCGGTCATCGATACTATCACTTATACTCGATACCTTGCCGGAACCGACTTTCAGCAATGCCACCACCAGACGCTCAGTTCATTCGAGTTGTTTCGTTCGAACGGTAGGGTTGTGTCCGCGCGCGTCGCGCTTACATTTTTATTTCGTTTTGCACCGCTTACTGCGTAGGTGTCCCGTGTAAAATTACAAATTCACAAGTGTTAACAGCAAATAAACAGTGCGATGTTGAAATCATTTATGTACATAATTCAAGAGAATCAATCACAAAACGCATTTATCGCAATATTGGCGGCATAAAAAGCCAAGAAATCAACCAATTTCTCTCTCAATACAAATAATTCTATTCCAAATGCAACACTGTGGCGCAACACCAACACAATGCTGTTGAAAAAGAAACGCTTTATGTACGTAGAGCAGGACGGCAGTATAGACAACATTGCTGTTTTCAAACCAAGCAACAACAGCAACAGCAGCAGCAGCAATAACATCAACAGCAGCAGCAACAGCAGTGTTGTTTGTGTTAGTGGCAGTAGTTATGGATCCAACATGGCCGATACACGCGAAGTACGCATTGTGGAGCAATTAAAAGTGAAAATTGGTATGTAAATTAGTGTAAATCAATGAAAAACTGCGCGCAAACATTAAATACGATGTATGTGTACTGTAAGTTATTGAAATTCGTTCGCTTGCGCTCATATTTCTTTATGAAAAGTGTATTGGAATTTATGCGCGTCGCTTCCTACGTACTGCGGCCCAGAACCAATGTTAAGCGGTCAATAATAATATGAAACAAGTACCAAAAGCAAAATGTAACGACAAAAGTGACTAAATAAATACATTAAATGTGCAATAATATAACAAATGATATTGAAATATTATTTAAAAGTGCAGCAAATATATCTTTTGGCTGAAAATGCATTGTGTGTGAGGTAGCAGCGTGCGGTGCTGCTCTGGCACATGAATCAATTGCTTGGTGCTATCTTGCTCTTGTACAAGTGCACATTGGGAGATTCGTTCGTGTGTGTTTGTGGGTGTAAGTGTGTATGTGTGTTGTTGGTGCAAGCAACCGCGGCAACAAACCAACAACAACTTTGTCTTGTTGTTGGCAGTTCCAGCCACAGCAGCCAACACAAATACATGCATACGTTCATACAAATAAAGCTAGTTCCGCTGGCTTTTTTAATGCCCTATTCCTTGTCTCCCTCTCTGCTGTATCTCACCTCAACAGACTGACTGTTACGGCATCGCCCCGCTGCCGCGTGCAGCGCCCCTTTTTGTGAATGAATTTCGTTTAAATGTGCTCGTGTGTGTGTTGGCACATGCGCTGGAGCGTCATCATACACACACACACACTCACACAAATGAAAACACACCTCTGTTAAGCGAAATACTGGCAAGCAACAATGTGTGGGTTTTTTCATGAATGGAATTCGAATTCGGTGTACTTTTCTCTGCCTGCTGCTGCCGCCTACCACAAGCTGCTTCTTCTTTTCATTCTTTACAAAACACACACATATACTTAACAAATACAAGTGCAAATTTTTTATGAATGATTATCATGACAGCTAAAGTGTGATGTACATTTGCTGATAACGTCGTTCGTGGCGTTTCATTAGCTTTCATTAAGGAAAACACAACTCACATACATACGCAATCTATGGCGCGCCTCTATAAAATACACTTTGAATTACGCGCCGCCTTCAGGCGTATGTACATATATATGTATGTATAGACTGGTATCAAAAAGGTCAATATTGTCGTTGCCAGCGCGTGCCTTATGAATGGAGCAGCATTGAGCTCTTTCGTCTGTAACTGTAAATAGTATCAGATTAGAACTGGACAAAAGTAATTTTAAGCGATAAAAAGCGTTTAAAATAAAACATTAAATTCAAAATAAACTTTAGTAGATTTAAAACTTAAGTAAATGTTGACCGTGAAATGTGATTACCCAAAATTAGAGGAATCTGAATCCGCTGCCCACCCTTCACTGTGAGTTTTGCATTTGGTCATCATGGTTCGTATTCCCAACCCGTGACTTTTAATAATCACCATCAGGTATGGCAGCAGCATTCTCAATATGCAGTTTTCTGTCAAGTCATTCCCATTCCCTATGACAGCTATACTATATAGCGATCTGACACATTATCTGTCGCAAAAAGCCTGGGGGCAAAGTTCCAACGCGCTAACTCTGAAACTGGAAGAAGTAAATAGAGGCGGACTCGACATATCATGCTGGGTGCATGTACATACATATATGTATGTGTATTCCAGCTTACCCATTAAAACCACTCACTCTTACTCTTTTCTGTGAAGGGTATACATACTTGTATGTATATGTAAATAGGTCTTCAAACTATTGTTAAAAATGAAAAAAAAAAAAAAAACCTACTTTTTTTAAATAATCTACATGAGACAATATGTTTGCGACATGAATATCATTACCGGACACATAGAGAAAACATATTTAATCTACAAATGATTAAAAGTGAATGTGACTGTCTAGATTATCAATAGAAAAATTCTTAATGCCACAAGAAGTCAACCTATTGCTTTAATAGAAAATATGTGCAGACTTGATATCGCAATGTAAATACTCTAAAGATTGTTATTTATAGCATTGATTAGGAATTTCAAATATTCTTACCACTAATTGATGATTTGCCGAGCAAAAAGTATTTTCTACTACATTGTATATGTATGTACATACTATATATACATTGCTATGTATAATGTAAATGTGTCTCTATATCTTTAATAATTTGCGCTTATCTACATACGTATACAGTTACACACCCCACACACACAATCAAGCACACTTGTTAAGTCCCTCGACCGTTGGTTGCGGTTATTTGGAGTACTTGACTGGTTTTACATTTCCTGTATCGCCTTTTTTTGTACCGCTTAAAACGTCGCTTGTTTAGTTGTGTGGAAGAAAAAAAGACCAACGAAAAATGGGAACCACATCCCAAAAAACGTGCGACAGAAAAAAGGGTTGTCATACAGTATATATGTACATACATATGTATGTTTATGTGTCTGTGATGCCCTCATTTGCCTGATCCATCCGTTCGTATTCACACCTGCATGGCCCCCAAAAAGAGCAGAGCAACAACAACAGCAATAAGAATAACAAGACAGGCAGCAATGTTGCTGCAAATAAACACACATATCTTGATAAATTTATTTTTACCTTTTATTATTTATGCCCCAACGGACACACAACGCACACACAAAGTGTATGTTGTATGTATACCTAGGGGCCCGCTGCTTTGGTTTACTTTGAATTTCATTTTCCTCCTAAACAATTTCAATCTTTTGCGCTGTCGCTTCCATAAGCAGCTTTTGCCATGCCTTCTCGGAGGCACATAAATTATATGCAAAGCGTTGTTGCAATAACAGCAACAACAAGCAAACATTGTAGCAGCTTTTGATTTCCGTTTCCCATCACATGAATTTCCTTTCTTTCGTTCGTTTGTGCGGTTTTGTGTGCTTTGCCAACCCATTCTCGAGCATCGTACAACTTTTGCTTTTCTGCTCCCCTTGCAAAGTCTTCTTAGCACTTCTGTTGTTATTATTGTTGCGGTTTTTTTGCGTTTTTTTCACGCTTCAATTGTTTTCGCATGCGCATCTGTCTTGTCTGTCTCTCAGCCTTCTGTCTTCCACTTTTGCAGCACCGGATAACTCTTGTGTGTTCTTCTGCCCGCCCTTCTGCTGTTAACCTGGCACTGTTCACACTATGTAAAGATTTGCATGCAATGTTAAGTTCACAATGTAGCTGATGGCAGTGCTGAAAGAAACAGAGAACCAATATTTCATACGATCTGATCTAAATAGTGAAGCTTCCTTTTTGACTAGTCTAGACTGAGCGGCGTCAGGCTAGCAAATCCCATATACTATGCGTATGCAGGGCATTAACCCTATAAAGATAAGATATGCGTCTCTGATTGTTAGGCTTGCTTGCATCGTATATGTAAATCATATCACTTTTACATACCTGTTGTGATACTTCCATAACGATCAGTTATATTATTGTTATTATCGAAGTTATTATATAAACCAAATTTCCTGTATGTACATTTTCCTTCGAAACGTATATTAACTGTTCTTAGAAATTCCGTTTATCTTGCTTCGGAAATTTTTTTTAAAACCTTATCTTCTATAATATGCCATATATATTATATATATATATTTATAATACTGTTCAAATAATATTAAGTATTTCAATGATTCATAATTTATATAGGGGTTGAAAACAGAGAAATGCGGGAATGTTAAGTGTTTCTAGTGCACCTAATACTCAAAACAAGTCTTTGTTGGATTCAAAAAGCATTAGTACCCTTTAATAGTTTTCAGTTTTCTACACAATGCATATATGCATGTATATATTGTAAACCTTAGTCATTTATGAAGAATTTGACTTGCTACCATGCCCGCATTAACATACACAGTACATATATAGTATATTTCATAATTTTTCTTTTGTCCACATAATGCCTGCAGAAGCTCTCTTCTGTTACCCAACTCCCGCCATTCTTTTCTCTAGAACATTAAATATATATGTGGTGAAACACATCTTGAATTTTATGTAGCGCTGGCTATATTTAAAAACACGAGCCACATATCTAAAAAAAAATATACATATATACTTTATATTTATGTTGGGTGATACGCACATGGTTTCTGTAAAATTTAATTTATTTGAATGAAATGAAATGTAGCATCCAATACAATCATTCCTTAATAAACAGCTGCATACGCAATCTTTCAGATAATTATAATGGCAGGTGTTTTAAAGCAGAAGATTACAACGCTGGTGCTTAATATTCATTATAAACACGTTTTGTATTATGGCGTTACCGGTTGAAGAATTCCTTTGTAAAATCATTTATCCTAAGTTATTAAAGTTTCAGTTGCTTAAATTTATAGATAGAATTCTCTTCAGTAGCCATATGCTTCTATGTATATGTATATTATTAATTACAAACTGAAAGAGAAATGTAACCAGAGTTCCACAATCTCTAAAAGTCTAACATCCACTCCCGCCACCCAATATTATCCTAATTAAAACGATTTTATAAAAAAAACCTGATATTGAAATCAATCAACAAAATATACTTTTCTCCCATCGAAATATAGTCTAGAAACGTCACTGAATACCTGCTATGTACAAATACATATGTATATATTACATATGTATATAGATGCATATGTGCATATGTAAATATCAACTACTATGAATGTAGATATGGATGTACTCGTACATAGCAGAACGCACACCTTTGGTTTGCAAAACTTTGCTGGCACTTCTTTACAGCTACAACGACGGCCTCCAATGCGCAATCTTGCGTCCGTTCGCCGGTCCGCCTCGACAGTCTGCCGTCTACCCGTCTGTCTGCATATTTTCTCGAGTTTCATATTTCCACTTCATTATGCTTGCATGCTTAATAATACTTCCACTTCGTGCTCAGTTTCAATTATACTACACACCGACACACGCATACTTGCAATTTCGCTTTTTTTCCTATATGTATTCCTACTGCATTTTGCTTAAGCTTTCCATTTTTTCGTTGTTGTTGCTTTTTGTTGTATGGTTACTGTTGCGATTTCTACATACTGACCGAATTTAGCGTAATATTTTTTCCACTTAATTAAAATGTTTAGCGCATAACCTAAATTTCATTTTCTATATGTAAAAATTGAAAAGAGATCCGAGACCCTCACGCCCGCTCTGTGAATAATTGCCACATAGACGACGATTGTTGATATTGTTGTGGCTTTTTTGTTTTTCCTATCACCTATAGCCAATTTGTTAAAGGCTATGCCAGAGTTCCAATGTTCTTCATCAGCATGATTCCACGAAGCAATACTATGCAAGCAGATAACTTGTTAGACTTAAAAACCCAGTGATAATAATCTTGGCACAAAAATTTAACTTATACAAAACAAAAGCACGCTTATTACAGCACATTTCAGATAAACTTAAGTGAATATATATTTATATATATAGAGCTTATATTACTAAACATTATTTCATTTACTTGAATAGAAAGGAAATTATAATTCATCTCCTCCGATACTTTAAATAATGAGAATTTAAAAATTACCTTCAGAGAAAATAAAAAGAGTTGGACTGAATTTTCTATACGATTTACTAATAACAGAAATGCAGGATCCATTAAGAATAATGTTCTCTACAATAGTATGCAAACCAATCCGAGAGTATTTTCATATTTTAATCTCTTTTGTATATGCCGGTTTGCGAAACGCATTCTGCTTCAGTTAACCATGAAGCCCAGTAATAGAATCTCAAAAACCAATAATAATCAACTTTGTAGGTGATTGTGGGCAGCGGTACCTATATTCGGTTGCGCCTTACCACATTTATTTAAGTGTTTTCTACGGGCGCAGTTGCAGCTTTGGCACGCTGATTAAGTTAGCTTTGTTGGTGGTGGTGGTGGTGATTCATGGTTGCTCCAAGTCAGAAATAGACAACGCGCCGGCGCATTACTCATTTAAAAAAGACTGAAAGCCACAGTCACTGACTCACACACTCGAGGGAGAAGGTCTAGAGATATTGCGTGGCATATGCAAAAACATCGAAGCATTTTACATGACACCCAGTTGACAAAGTCGTCGTTAAGTTGTCATCGCAGTAAAGACCACACGCACCAGAGATTTCGATGAACTTGAGTGGAAGAGAAGCTCCAGTAGTAGCAGTAGCAGTAGTTGGGTCGCGTTTTTATTGCTGCTGTAGCTTAACACAAATAAATATATTTTGTATCACTCGCGAATGACAACAACAATAAATAGTTTAACTAAAAAAGGCAATTAATTAAAAGCCGGTTGCTGCCGCTGCTGCCATTGGTAGCCACTGGCCAGCTTGTTGGCCAAGGCACCAACCAGTTGTAAGTGAGTTCTACTTCAACTCTGTTTGTTGACAATTAGTCTTGACCGCTTGTTCTTATCTTTTCTACGTATATGTCGGGCTCTTGGGCAGCTCTTAAATCATTTTTCTAATATTTTTTAAACACATACTCGCACATTACAAGTCGCTTAGTGCCGCTCTGTTCTAATGGTTCGTTGGAGAACAATTAAAATGGCATATTTTCAGTTGGAAGAACAAAACAAAAAAGTATAAAAAAAGAGGAAAAAACGAACATATAAAAGCAAGCGGCATTGCAGCCTACAGACATTAATTAGTTAAAATGGTTTGACGCTTGTTGCCATTGGCGTTGTTCAGCAGCGGCCGAGAAGAAGAAGAAGCAGACACTTTAAAGGCGGTACAGTGTATTGAGGTGTATGATGAATAGCGTTTTTGGTTTATCACGCAAAGTCTAATATTAAATGTGGCACGGACATCCATATTCATATTATTCTATTTTGTAC